GCAAGAAGGGAGGAGAAACAGGCTAAATTCTTCCGTCCCCCAACGCTATACTTCAACATTCGTTCCCCAAGGACTGGGTTCATCTCTGCCTGATAAGAAATTACTGTTCCGGAATCCGTCATCAAGGTCACTTTCCTATGGTAGCAATCAACAATTGCACCGTGCCTTGACAGCCAATCCATTCTGAGTACCACATCAAACAGGGTCATCGAAAGGCTAATCAAATCTGCTCTCAATCGCTCACTACCAATCGTGATTTCACACGATTTGCACACACTCATCACCTCCACACATCCCAGTGGGGAGTTCAAAGTCATCGGGACTTTTAAATTCTCACTCTTCAGTTTCAAAGTCTGAACAAAAGAACTCGATACAAACGAGTGTGTGGCACCTGTATCAAACAAGAGCAAAAGAATGAGAGATTAGAATCATACCCTCAACCACCGCGTTGTTGGTCTGACCTCCCGAACTGCCTCCTGCCAGGGTATAAGCTTGTCCCTGTACTTTTCCCTTTCCTCTGTCACCAACATTAGGCCGCTGAGCTGGAGGCCTATACTATTGTGGTGGAGGCGGGTGGGCCGGGCTCGGCACTTGAGGCCGGAACTGTGTATACTGAGGCGGCTGATAAGTCGGCGCAGGAGGGTATGACATCTATTGTGGTTGGTATGGTGGCATGTACTGTGGTGGCCCTTCTTAGCTGTAGGAAGTGTCACTTTGGGCTTGTTGAGCCGGCGGCCGATTAGGACAATTCCTCCTAATATGGCCCACCTGCCCACAATGGTGACACCTGGGCCCGTATGGAGCATTTCTGTCACTCCCGGATGAACTGCTGCCACCGCTTGCCATTTCCCCAACCATCTGCCCCTTGTTACGGTTTCTTCTACCACTCCGCTGTGGTCCACCTGAAATAGAAGGTCTACCAGAGACAGAGACTCGCCCCGCCTCTTCTTCTTTGCTTTGGTGATAGGCCAAGCTATCCTGTTCCACTCTTGTAGCAGCAGCTACCAAATCCCGGAAGTTTCGAAGCCTTAAAGCCAACAAGGATCTCCTCACAGAGTTCTTGAGGCCCTTCTCAAACTTAAGACATCTCATGTGTTCAGACTCCACCAGAGATGGCGCAAACCAGGATAGGTCATTAAACTTAGCCTCATATTGCCTCACCGACATGTCACCTTGCTGCAGCGACATGAATTCCAGTGCTTTTTCTTCCCTATAACTCTGAGGTAAATATTGGTCATTGAACAACGTCTCAAACTGCTCCCAGGTCAATCCTACGACGTCCATTCTCCTCTTGACCTGTTTCCACCAAGTGTTTGCTAACCCTTCCATCTTGTACACTGCAAATTCCACCCAGTATTCATCTGGGACTCCCATAGTACTCAAGTGCTTGACTATGGAGTCAATCCAGAGCTCTACTTCCTGGGGTCCTCCCTCACTATTAAACGAGGGGATAGGCGCTCGCCTGAATTCCTGAAAATATCCTTGTTTCCGATCCTCAGCCGGTCGCTCATTCCGAGCTCTAGTGGCCATGCCTTGAAAGGCAGCATACATTGCATCCAAGAACCCTTGATTCGGTTGTTCCGGCTGGGTGCCTAGTCTACGGCGAGGCGCCATTTTCCTTCAACTGAAATAAAACTAGACTGTTCAGTGGGTAACAGATGTCACACATGTATGTACAATCCTTGGGTTCTTAACCTAAAGCTCTGATACCACTCCTGTCACGCCCCCCAAACGGGGTGGGTGACGTGGAACTCGATTTGGGATTAATAAAGCAGATTC